AAGATTCTGTGGATCTAAGTGGGAAAACTAATGTTATGCAATCTTTCTAGAAAGGTATTATTTACAAGTGTGCTCAAGGCATTTCAAAAATATATGTTGGAAAGCATCTTGCAGGAGAGACAAATTCAGACTCTCAGGAGGTTAGGCAGATTGGCAGGACGGGTGGCAGTGCGTGTCACGGTGACTGGTGGGACTGTGGCAAAACACAAAGTGCATACCCTATCTAAAGGGAGTACCTCTATTAATGTCCAGCAGATTTTGGCCACGTGGAAATGGAGGCCCTTTATGGCCATCAATTCCTTTTTTAAAAGAGAAACCAGGCATCTGGATTTTATATGAACTATTCATATTTGTTAATGTTGGCTGAAGAAAACATTAACACCATTTGGGACAAAAGAAACATATCTTTTATCATATTTGTCTCGAGGGCTACAAGTTTATAACTTCAAAAAAAGTAAGAGGAATTAGAAGAAATAAATTACTTATAATTTATGTTTTTACTATCAATATCTTTATTACATTTGTTTTGAAAACATAACAATTAATTTTAATTTAATTATTTCCTAAGTTGGTAACATGCTTGCAAAGAAAATCAGAGACTTTGGGAGCTTAAATGTTTTCAATTCTTCCACCAAACAGTAATTGAAATCCTGCTCCTATCTGCCAGGCAATAGATAAGTTGTAAGAATATAAATACTGAGGTACTGTCTTTGTTTCCAGAACTTAGAGACCAGTGTGGAAAGAGTTGTTTCAAAAGATTATAATACTGTTGTCATAAAAGACTATAATCTGTTAAGGCCTCTCCTAAAGATACGTAAAAAGTGCAGAGAGAGAAAACGCATCTCCCCAACAGATTGGGAGGAATTCCCAAAGGAGAGATCTTTTTGAGTAGACCTTTGTATCAAGGGACCCAGATTACTAACAATTCAGTATGTTATTATGAAGAATTGGGCTCTTATCCTTGAGGAAATAGTAACTGAAAAATTCTGAACGAGGAAATGATGTGTTCAGTTTTATCATTTTGGCTGCAGTACAGAAGATGACCTACAGGAGGAGACAAGGTGAAAATGAAGACCTACCAGATGAAGATTTCAATATAAACTACTACAGCTGCAGCAGAGGGAATGAAATACAACTATTTGATTGGAAAGATATTTAAAAACAGAAGCAGCAGAACCTGGTGGCTGATTTCATGCAGGTGGGCAGAGTGGAAAAAAGAGAAGAAAAACTTGAGAATGATTCTTGAGACTTTTATCTATAAGAGGTAGTCTAAAATAAAAGTTAGAGCATAGTCCCTGGAGCCAAACTACTTAAATTCAAATCCTTATTCTTCTACTCATTTGCTATGTGACTTTAAGCAAGTTATTTATTCTCTCTGAGCCCATATTGTGTAAATGTCAAGTGTTCTTACCACAGTGTTTACAGTTGTGCGTGTACATTACTGTTAATATTATTAATTATTATAATTCTGGTTAGTATGGTGGTGCTATTCAGTTTGTTTTAGAAGACTAATGTTGCATTAAAAGTTCTTTTAGAAGATTGTAGGTTTACATAGTTGAAGAAGTGGTTGAGAAAAAGCTTCATTAGCTGAGTCATGGTGGTTAGAGTCTCTTATTCATGCAGATTAAGTAGCCTAAGGTATTTTGGTGGGAGAAGTCCAGGGTTTGAGTTTCATGACACTGGTATGAGAAGATGGAATATGAGGTAACATCTGCAGAGGCTCATAAGAAGAGAAGGCTAGAGAGGTAGTAGGAGAAAAACAAAAGTGCAGTGTCTAAAATCCAGGAGAATAAAGGGGTTTAGAAAGATAGAAAATGCTACAGAGGAGCCAAGTAATGACTGACAAGCATTTCTATTTAACAACTGAGAAACTTTTAATAAAGTAATTTCAAATAGCTCCTTGGTCTCAAAAGTTAGTTTCTGTTATCCTTCTTAATTTTAAATGCATTTCCAAAATGAGAATAAAAACAACTACTAAATGGAACCATAAAACTTTTCATATTTGTAGGTCAAAAAACATTCAATTCAACAATTTCATTTACTTCAACTATGCTGAGTAACTGAAAAGCTGCTTCAAAGATCAGTAGAGTCATAGCTCATGGACATAGACAACAGTGTTGGGATGGCCAAGGAGGGGGCAGGTGGGCAAAGTGGAGAAAAATGAGGGACATCTGTAATAGTGTCAACAATAAACATGAAGTAAAAAAGAAAGTAAGGCACAATTTTGTTTGTAAAAACAATGATCAGTAGAGTGAAAACAGGTATGTGTTGCTATTGTTTGTGTTATGATGCAAGATAAAAAGAATTACTTCTTTCTTCTAATTTCCTAAAGAAATAAAACTTATAATGATTGCCAATATTGTATTCACCCAAAGGAAAGGTAATGATCTATAAATGCCTTCCTTACTCTCTATTCTATTGTAGTTATTTTCCTTGTAACTTCACTCTTTGAGTCTAAAAGCTGCAGGGATAGTAGCTAAATGCAGGAGTAATTTGAAGAGAAGGACATTTAAACCTTTCTAAAGAAATGTCTTCTATTATTAATAACATTGGTGTTATGACTAAGTCTAGCTATTTTGGCAGTATAGAATGTAAAGTATAAAATATTAAGAGTGCTGACTTTGGAATTAAATCCTGATTGTCACTTATTAGGTATGAGGGCCAGAGAAAGTTACTTAATTTTCTAAGCCTCCATTTTCTTATGTGGAAAATAGAGAAAGCTGTCTCTAGAGATTTTGCTAAGATAGAAGATAATGTATATAAGGAGCTTAGTACGATGCTCCTTACAGGATTGTTACATTTTGCCTTTCATGTCTCCATTGCGGATGAGCATGGGAAAGTTTAAGGGGTACTTTTAGAAGAATGAGTCCTTTCATAACTAACAAAAAACTTTAAGGTCTTTCTAGTGATGTAGACTTGTCCAATCACTGATAGACTTCCAAATGAAACAGTAGCAAGATCCATAACTTTATAAGACACAAGGACTGAGTAAACTTTGTGTTTCTTATCAGCTGGGAGCTGGCCAGTGTTTCTTCTTAACTAACTAAATACATAAATCATAAAACAAAATTTCTCAAAATTGACACCCAAATAGAAGCCAGACAATTAACTACTAATGACTTACACATAAGTGATATCACGAATGACATATCACAGGTATTTTTATTATATGCCTAAATTTATTAACCTGATATTTTACAATGGTGAAAAAACAAACTTTTTATTTATATGTTTGTCTTTCATGTCACATTAAGTTAAAGCAAGATACATTTATAAAATATACTGAAACTATCTGGTGAAAAAGCCTCTGTAAAAATCACATAAGTTTCAAAGTACATGGTCATGTCTCATTTAAATAAAAGCAAATAGCCCTGGCCGGTTTGGCTCAGCGGTTAGAGCATCGGCCTGCGGTCCAGAGAGTCCCAGGTTCGGTTCCCGCTAAGGGCACGTACCTCAGTTGCAGTTTGTCTGCTAGTCGATGTGTCTATTTGACATTGAAGTTTCCCTCTCTCTTTTCCACCATCTCTCCCTCCTGCTCTATCTGAAGGTAAATGCAGAAATGTCCTCGGGTGAGGATAAAAACAACAAAAAAAAGTGAATAAAATCAAGACTGAAAATGCCCTAACCTGTCATTTATTTTGCACTTTTATGAAAGATTACTATGTTTTGCTATTGACAAAATAGTTATTAAAACTATTTAGAAAAATGCAATCCCGTAAAAGATGGTAGTGTTAAGAATCTGAAAGGAAAGCAACTCTTTAATTAAGAGTGCCTATAATTTAATGGTATGAATACTAGTTCGAGACAGGGAGAGAGTAAAACCGCAAGGAATCTACAAAGTCTGTGCTGAGGAGTGCTCCAAATTCTCACGGCTGAAAAATCAGTTTCTTTCCTTTCTACAGTTAGGAAGTATTACCTGAGTTAGTTAAAAAATACAAAGAATATACCTTTAAGGAAAACACACACCACATTCACACATGTGTGCACACTAGTTAACTAAAAATTTTCACTGAAAGAGACACCTATCTAAATCCAGAATATTATTTAGGATCTGCCTTGAAAAAATTAAAATCAGACGTCTCACCAGGTTAAATTGCTTGTTGGGAAATAAGTAAGTTCATAATGTTGTGGCAGGATGGTGAAAAGCTAGGAAAATTCCTGGGCAAGTGGAAGAGGGAAACTAAGACGAGAAAATTAAACAAGGCCAAACCGTTTGGGCAGCTTGCAGCCAGCCTGTGAGGAACAAGACCTGATCTTCCCCAACCGAGCACACTTGAGAGCAAATGGTTAATACCTCTTCTTCCTACCCACAGAACACATAGGTAAAATAACCCTAAAACTGCTAAGGCAGTAGAGAGGAAGGGAGAAAAAAAAACAAACAGGTATTTTATCTCATTCACTGAACAAAGAAGTCAGCAGTCTTGGGACTTGCCAGATATTCTCAGAAATTCTGGAAAAAGTACAACAAAGTAAAAAGGTGACCTTGAAACTTAGTCTATGACCAAGATCCAGCAGAGGAACCTTGAAACCTATAGACAGAAGGGTATAAAACCCCTCGAACCCACACCAGGCATGCTCTGATTAGCTTGTTGTCCACTTGTGCTTTATGCCAGGGTTTTAACAAATTTGCTTGCTACAGCACTGCTGTCTAGTGTCACTCACTTGAACTCTTTCCTGGGAGATTGACAAGAGCCCAGGAGGGGACAGCCCTCTCCCTCCGATCAGGAGGCTTTTCGATAACATCTTTTCTGGTGTCCTACAACAATGTGATATAGAATTAAATCACCGTGCACAATACACATAAGCTCTAAGGACATACAGGATTCTCTATATATTTATACAGATATTCAGTATACAAATATTCAATGTTTTATTCTCCCCAAATTAATTAAATATTCATTTTATTAGTTAAATTGTAAATCCGAGACCACATAGTCTTCCACTAAAGCAAAGTGACATCTATCGTGCATAAAACAGGGAAATGAAATGCAGTACATTACCTTGTGTCACCTGTTGAATGGCCAACATCATCCCAGACACGGTGTCTGGAAGCAAGTTTTCTCTCAGGTGGTAACGTGGTGCCCATTCCAAAATAGGCAGCCGCCGTCTGCCCCACTGTTTAAAGTCTTCACAGCGAAGTATATTCCTCTTGCTCCAGAGCACACTTTTCTTTTTCCTCTTTGCCCCTGTCATTTTTCAGATTTTATCTTGTAGACGTGAACTTTAAACAAGAAAAAGACTGTTGGAGAACGCCTCCTTTCAATACAAGGCTCCAATTCTTCTGTGAATTACAATGTCAAAGCTATCCAAAAAATAAATAAATGAGAGAGGCAGGTAGAGAGATTAACAGATGCACTTAAAAGTATGCAACTGGCCTGTATATTTTATTATGGTGCAGCTAATCATTCTAGATAAAAGCATAGATGAAAACCTTGAAATCTCACCTGAATGAGAATGAGAAATGGTTCCTGTTAGTATAATATTTTTCCAGTCTTGGAGAACTAATGGGTTCAGTGTTAAGTTGGTCTAGAGCTCTCTCACCAGTAAATCTCCTTATATTCACTGTAGTCTTAAATTTCTGGCTCCAGTCCCAAAGGCTAAGGTAGTTCTGGGCATGTGGTGGAAGTAGGCTGGGTTATGCTAATGAAAGGAGGAAGCATTCAGCCAGTTGAGTCTCTCCCTATAAGCTATGCAAAAAGATGAAACTGCCCGAAGAGTTTGTCCTGCAAAATAAAATCAGAGAATCTGCACGTACCTCTTTGGGAAGTACACACTTTCAGGTCTACAAAATTCAGAAACATAGGAGGGCATTGCTAAATGTCCTTATCTTTTTTAGTCCCTGGGAGATGAAATATTTTCACTCACAGACAGCAATACTTATATCTGTATTATATACTTTATTCAATATATAACCAAATCATTTCAGAAGCTATATATATACTGAGTATATATTACTTTTATAATAAAAATCACAATAAAGATTTCTTTTAAAACATATCTAGGTCATAAATTCAAATCTATGCTGACAAAACAAGAACAAATGAAAGCTTGACTGAAATTGCCAATCAACAGCAATGATTTGTTTAAATCTAATTATTTAAATTCATGTTTTTAAAATATTGTTACATGTTAGTAACAAAAAATTCACATGAACAGGAATATTAGAATTGAAAATGAATCTGTATCTATTCATTAGTGCCAGCATGTCCTAAAACATCCTAAGACCAACAGGGAGCAGAAATTAGTTTGCTAAAATAGTTTTGTAGTCTCTCAATCAAAAGACTAAAAATTAGAAAAAATCCTATAAATATTTTTCAAGTGTAAACCTGGAATTCCATTTGCAAGTTTTTTGTAATTGCATGTACTTACACGTCATTTGAAACACAGCAAAATCTTACTCCAGAGCATAGTATCACTCCAACTTATCAACAGTACCAAAAATCCTTTATGAAGAATTTTATTCACACTCATAAGATTATCAGAGTACTTTTGACCTAGCCCATAAAATTCAAAAGGACTAAATAATATTTATTCAAAAGTTTCAATGACTAAATTTAGGTTATAGTTCAATACTGTGCATCATCTATATGAGAAATCTTTTCCCAAATGTCCAGAAAACACCTATACAAATAAAAAGATAAACTTATCTTAGACCTAACATGTGAAAGTACAGAAAAATTTTTCTTCCTAAAATATTATTTTTATTACATCTCTAACATGTGTCAACTTCTGGTGTTCTCAATATCAAACTTAAACTCATTAGCACAAGCATGTGAGCTTTCTCTGCTCCCCTATAACCTCTGACTAGCTTCTATAACTCAGCAATTTTTTATTGAAAACCACATTTTACTAGACTCATTGTAAACTGCTATAAAAGAGGGGGTTATGTGTTGTCTTTATTTTCTAGGAGTTATTTAAGTAAGGAAATAGAAATGTTTATAACTAATTCAAGGCAGAATGAGATAAATTAATAATCAAGTCACACAGGAAATGCTATGGGAGCTCAGAGGAGGGACCATTGCAGTCCCACTGAGCAAAAGGCTTCTGTTCCAGAAAATCATTAGATTCACCATCTGCTGCACGTTAGCCCTTCAGCATATCTCTATACTAATTTCCCTAGTCCCCTGGTCTTTTTCCTTGGACTAAACATTCATTCAATTCTTACCTCTTCTATGAAGCTTTCTCTGGTTTCCCCACAGTTCTGTTCTTGCTGTACACCCAACATCCAGGTAACCCTTAAGCTATTCTTGGGTGTACAGTTGTACTCCTTCTCACTGTGTATTGGTTTTCTTCCTTGAAATCTATTTCATGTGATTTTACCCAGTCACGCTGATGAGATTGTAAATTCCTTGTGAGTAGGGATTATTAACATAACTTGCTTTGTGACTTTCCTAGGACCTAATACAAGGTTATGCAGACGTAGGATCCACACAGTAAGAATTAGCACATGAATTGAATGTCCCTTCTCCTCAAATTACCCAAGAATTATTTAGTCTATTTCAGCCTGGTCCCAGGCTATGCTATTAAAGAACCAGGAAAATAGGTGGAGAGAGAAAAATAGTTGGAGATAGTAGGGGGAAAATAAGGACTTCTCCCCATTTTCTCACAATGTAGGGAAAGGTCCATCTCTTTTCAACACAATCCTTTTTCTTGTATTATAGAATCTAGATAACAGAAAGAGGAAAAACTAGATGAATGCAAGAGAAAGGGAAGAGGCAAAACAGAGAGAGAAAACCTTATGGACTGGGGTTTTGGAGAGCTTTAGAGGGTTAGCATGTAAGAGCCTCTGGAGCAATTATGAAGTATGAGATGATTAAGCCAGGTTCCAATGAGGAAAGAGTCATTTAAGAAATATCATTTAGGCCCTGGCCGGTTTGGCTCAGCGGTTAGAGCGTCGGCCTGTGGTCCTGAGAGACCCGGGTTCGGTTCCCGCTAAGGGCATGTACCTCGGTTGCAGTTTGTCCCCGACCCTGGTCGGTTGTGCGGGTGGCAGCCACTCGATGTGTTCCTTTCACATTGATGTTTCTCTCTCTCTCTGTTCCTCTCTCTCCCTCCCACTCTACCTGAACAAAAAATGGAAAAATGTCCTCCGGTGAGGATAAAAAAAAAAAAAAGAAAAGAAATATCATTTAGCCCTGGCTCGTGTGGCTCAGTTGATCGAGCATCATCCCATGCACTGAAAGGTTGCTGGTTCAATTCCCAGTCAGGATACATGCCCAAGTTGCAGGCTCCGCCCCCAGTGGGGGGTGTGCAGGAGGCAGCTGATCAATGTTTTCCTCTCACATCAATGTTATAATTCTCTCTCTCTCCCTCTCTCTTCCTCTCTTTCTAAAAATCAATAAAATATGTTAAGTGAAAAAGCAATATCATTCAGGTTATAAAATGGATCACATTAAATGGTTTTTGAGAGACACTATTAAAGACTGAAATTCTTATCACATTACTTTTCTATCAAATTTATCGAGGTGACATTGGTTAATAAGATTACATAGGTTTCAAGTGTACAATTCTATGATACATGGTCTGTATATTAGATTGTGTGCCCAACTCCCAAAGTCAAATCATCTTCCGTCACTATCTATTTGACCCCCTTGACCCTTTACTACCTTCTGACATTACTTTTGAATATGGCATCATATTTCTTTGAACATGATCTGTGTGGAGACTGGGACAACTAAAATAATGATTTATATGCAGGTTACATTTGAAAATATAGACTCCTAAACCTTGGAGGACATCAGCTGCAATCCATACTTACTTCAGGAAGTTGACCAACAGCATTTCTCACAAAAGGACATTACAAAAGGTTCCCATCTGAGGAGGAAAGAGAGGCTGAGAAACAACATTCTGCTCACTACGCCATGTGACTGATATGAGGCTACATCCGCACAAAGGAAACGCCTTTTATTAAGTAGCTCACTAGATAGGGGACCTTTTCTTAATTTGTCCAAAATTTTATATAGACTGAAACAGCCCTGAATTGAACCTCTGTTTTAATTCTTCCAATGACTGAAATTAACAGGCTTAGAAAAAAAAATGCCCATTCTAATATTCAGACATTCTAATTATTAGAGCATGTTGTCCCCAATTATTGAGCCAAGATCTGCTACTTAAAATGTCTACACTTTAGTCTTTATTCAAACCCCTGGGACACATAACAACCCTTCAGCTTCAGGGCTTTTATTTAGTGTATCCCCCCAAAATTCTGATTTTTATGGTGATGTTTATTTCAGAAATACTCTTGCCTTTACATGTGAATGCACACATACTAGTCAATTACAGTCCTGAGCAGCTCAGTTCGGGCTTTAGTCCTCACAGGCCAACCAGTAGAGCAAAGCGAGCAAAATCCTGTGCTCCTGGTGCTGATTTATTTTTCTCTTTTTTATCTTTATTGTTGAATGTATTACAGATGTCCCCCATTGACCCACTCCTCCCCCCTCCCACCCCGCTCCAGCCTTTTCCCACACTGTTGTCTGTGTCCATTGGTTATGCATATAAGTTCTTTGGTTTATTTCTTCCCATGCCCCAACACCCTTCCCTTTGAGGTTTGTCAGTCTAGCAACCAATTTATACTTCTTTTTCACCCATTCCCCCAACCCCCTCCCATCTGGCAACCAATAAAATGTTCTCTGTATCTATGAGAATGTTTCTGTTCTGCCTGTTCATTTTGTATGTAGATTCAATTGTTGATAGATATGTATTCATTGCCATTTTGTTTGTTCATATATTTTATCTTTTTCCTCAAAAAGACCCTTCATCATTTCATATAATAACAGTTTGGTGGTGATGAACTCGTTTAACTTTTCCTTGTCTGGGAAACTCTTTCTAAATGACAGCTTTGCAGGATAGAGTAATCTTGGTTGTAGGTTCTTGCTTTTCATCACTCTGAATATTTCTTGCCATTCCCTTCCAGCCTGCAAAGTTTCTTTTGAGAAACCAGCTGACAGTCTTATGGGAACTCCCTTGTAGGTAACTAACTGCTTTTCCCTTGCTGCTTTTAAGATTCTCTCTTTGTTTTGAACCTTTTGCATTTTGATGATGTGTATTGGTGTGGGCCTCTTGGTATTCATCTTGTTTGGAACTCTGTGCTTCCTGGACTTGTATGTCTGTTTCCTTCACCAAGTTAGGGAAGTTTTCTGCCATTATTGTTTCAAATAGGTTTTCGATTTCTTGTTCTCTCTCTTCTCCTTCTGGTACCCCCAAGATGCAAATGTTGGCACACTTGAAGTTGTTCCAGAGGCTCCTTACACTATCCTCATTTTTTTGGATTCTTTTTTCTTTTTGCTGTTCTGATTGGGTGTTTTTTGCTTGATTATATTACAAATCGATGGTTTGCTTCTTGGCTTTACCTACTCTACTATTGAATCTGTGTAAATTCTTCTTTTTTTTTTTTTTCATCTTCACCCGAGAACATTTTTTCATTTTTTGTTCAGATAGAGTGTTAGGGAGAGAGAGAGAGAGAGAGAGAGAGAGAGAGAGAGAGAGAGAGAAACATCGACGTGAAAGGGGGCACATCGAGGGCTTGCCACCCGAATGACCCATCAAGGGCCGGGGACAAACCACAACCGAGGTATGTGCCCTTAGCGGGAACTGAACCCGGGTCTCTCTGGACCACAGGCCGATGCTCTCATTGCTGAGCCAAACCGACCAGGGCTTATTCTTTATTTCAGTTAGTGCCTCTTTCATTTCTGACTGTGCATCCTTCATTTCTGACTGGTCCTTTTTTATGTTCTTGAGGCCCTCACTAAGTTCGCAGAGGTTCTCACTAAGTTTATTGAATATCCTTACAAGCAGTATTTTGAACTCAGCATCTGTTAGGTTGCTTATCTCCATTTCGTTTAATTCTTTTCCTGGGGTTTTGTTCTGTTCTTTCATTTGGGACCTGTTTCTTTGTCTCCTCATTTTGGCTGCCTCCCTGTGTCTGTTTCTGTGCATTACTTAACGAGAGGTAGGGGGCTAGCTGAGACCAGATGCTGCTTGTTTGAAAGAATTTAGGAAAACCTGAAGCAGGATCCAACACAGGACAATCCTATGGTTAAGCAAGTGGCAACAGCTTGGGTGGGCCTGAAAGTTGGGTGGGGTGGGGCCTCAGGGTATCACCAGGGCAGGAAAACCAGTGTGAGCCAGGTTGCTGGAGTCCCAGATATGGAGAGTGTCTGCCACCCCAGGGAAGGGCTCACCAAAGGAACAAGGGCCTCTTACAGCACGTTTGTCCCAGAGAAAGCCCCCTCTCCAGCCCTCGCTCCAGTGCCAAACAGCTCAGTATTTCCCTGTATGTCTCTGGTGCCCCTCGAGCTGCCTCCCCTCCGAGCTTAGAGGGAGTGAATCCGATAAGTCTGTGCGTGGGCCCTTTAAGGAGCTGCCTGGGGCTCCAGCCGCTTCAGCTTCCCTGAGCCTCAGTTCCCACTGGTTTTTCCAGCCAGAAGTTATGGGGACTTCTCTTCCTGGCACTGGAACCCTGAGCAGAGGACCTGGTGTGGGACGGGGACCCTCAGTCCTCAGGGAGGACTTTCCCCACTCAGGTACCCTCCTGATTTTTATCCGCCACACGTGGGTGTGGGACCAACCCGTCCGCCTCCGCCCCTCCTACCAGTCTGGATGTGGCTGCTGCTTTAATTCCATAGTTGTAGGACTTCCATTCAGCTTGATTTCAGACAGTTTTGAATGATGGTTGTTCTGTATTTTAGTTGTAACTTTGATGCGGTTGTTGGAGGACGCAATACCGCATTTACCTTCCCGCCATCTTGACCGGAAGTCCTCCTGGTGCTGATTTCTAATGTGCTTTGCTTTGCTTTCTTTAGATTAAATAGCACTTTCCAGTCTGTTTCTTTAGCATGTTTTTTTGTTCTTTCTGCCATCATTCTATATTCTGTAACTGACTTTGACTCATAATAGGGACTAAAAGGAGATGGCTCTAGTGAAGTAAAAAAATAAAAGCCTATGGAAAAGAATTACATGTATATTCAAATGCATGTTTTACAATGATCTGAGGCATTTTAAAGGACATGGGAAAAGAGAGGAAGGAAGGAAGGAAGGAAGGAAGGAAGGAAGGAAGGAAGGAAGGAAGGAAGGAAGGAAGGAAGGAGCATTATGGACTACATTTTTGTGTCCCCCATTTTTCTACGTTGAAACCCTAACAGCCAATGGAATACTACTTTGTTAGGAGGTGGGGCTTTTGAAAACTAGTTATGTTTATATGGGATCATGAGGGTGGACA